TAGCTCCACCTTGCGGAAATTCCGGATTATATTATTTTGCTTGCGGTATTATAGGAGAATTTACGGTAACTAGCGGTATTTACCGGTAACTCGTGGTAGACTGCGTACAGCGCACCGGAAAATAATGCGGTATCGCCCGCGCATTTTGAATGGCTGCATCTGTACATACATACATATATATGTGTGTTTGTAGTTATCTCTGTATATAAAGTATATACAATAAAAAATAATCCTATACAGACAAGCATTACATGTGCTACAAATGAATAATTGAAACCAATAGAAATCATTGCATTTTTAATGTCTTGTGGATGTAAATCTGTTTTGATGTTTGACAACATAATTGCTAGATAGATATCAATTGATCAGACTTCAGATTTCTATTTACAGATAGTTTAGAAACTTCAAGATTCAAAATCTTTAAAAAAGGAATTTAAACCCTTTATACCCCGCCCCCAAAATGGAGGTCAAGGTCAATGACCTCCTGGAATGGATGTACTGTTTAATATTTTGAATTATCTTGGTAAGCATAAACAGCACAAACTTGTTTAGGGTCTTGAATTAAATAGAACACCCTGACAATCCCTTCTGAACCTTCATACTTTGAGTAATGCCTACTCAGTATAAATAAATATCAAAAACACAAACTGGAAAAAGGCAATATCTCAAATTGTGGAACACATAGGATGAAAATGTCTTCTCTAATTTGTCTTCTAACTTGCATAAAACGTTGAGAGTGATTTAACAAACAATATAAAAATGGCATACATTTTTATGATGGCTAGTCCGGGAATGTTTTTCTCCTCCTTACTGGAGATGTGAAATAAACAGCAGATTAAGTGCATTTGAAAATGTTCAGGTATGGTATACATGTTTTAAGTCAAAATTTAACTTCTGTACCTCTATGGAAAGGTGGGTGAATTAGATAAGGACCCGCAGTTATGAATTAGTATTTTTTATAAATCACAGCCTGGAGGGCCAGTGTATTTGCAGGTTTTGTGGGTCACTTCAAAACACTGCAGAGCTGGAAAAGATTTTTGAATTAATTTCATTTGTAATAATAAATAATCAATAATGATCTGATTTGCATTGCTATGAAAGGAAAACCTTCTGATAAATCAGCCCCCCAGGGCCACAGTTGCCTATCCCAGGTATAGTATATGATAATATGGGGTTATTATTTAAGGAATTTATTAAATGTACTAGAGACATCCATAATTTTCGTTAGTGTAAGAAAAAACCTTAGAGCATGGTATGTTTAGGATTGGTGTTGAGAAAAGGGGACAGGAGAATTGAAAATACAAAGGGACCATGTGGACAAAAATGGTAACATTTTATTAGAAAATGTTAATTTTAGTGTATAATTATAATGTTTGAAAACCTACAAAAGGGTTTTTGTATTTGCATTTCAAACAAATAAAAGTGTTTATTTTCTGAAATGTTTGACAGGTGTGAACAATAGGTATTCAAAACAAGTCAATCACGACAACTTTTAAACAAGCATGTTCTAATTTGATCTCATTGTGCATACTGTATGTTCATGCTAACACTAACAGCTGAAGAGTTTTATGTTAGCCATTTGGATAGTTTAGCATTTTGCAGGATTGTCATTGGACTTCTAATGCCAGTGGAACACAGAAAGGTCACAAAAAATTAAAACTGGTATTATGTTGGCATAAAACTCTTAATATATTTGATCATTGCAATAACCTTAAATGTAATTAAATAATGTTTGTATTTGACCATTTGGGGGAGAGAAAAGCAATAGAAATGTATAACTGCATATATAAGGTTACAAATAAAAAAAGGTTTTCATAAGAAGATTGAATAATAATCTTTGAAGTATGAATTTAACATATTAGGGATGGATCTCAGCAATCCAATAACAGGATTGTCACTATCAATTTACCTCTTCTTGTAGATATCATCATAGATAATAATAGTACACAATCTAACTGTTTGTAAAAGACAATAATTAGTGTCCTATGAAACTGATTTCTTAAGTAAAGGTGCAAATGAGGAAGGGGCATTCAGCTTGTGTAGCTCATTTTGTTGCAAGTGGCTAATTAATCCAACAAAGTCAGCCTGCTGTTTCTTGATATATCTTATGACATACTGTAAGCCTCAACATGGCTGGGTAGCTTCATCCAGACTCCCACAACTTTGCATGAAGAAGTACCAGATGTTCTCAGACTGCCATTTGCTTTACGTTCTGTTTGTATTTTTTGGATCATTTTCACTGCTGATTCTAAAAAAGATCAGAAGAATCAGACTTAAAAAAACGTAAACTAATCAATGAAATAGTGACTTAAAAATATTATAACCACTGGTTATACTTTCTAGAATTGTTTATTCTGGCTCATTTTGGAAACATAAAAAGCGACAGTAAGTGGAAAAAGGCATTCCCTGATATGTTGACCTTCTCATTACAGAGACTGCAGTTTCACATTCCTTAGGAGATTGTGTTGCCATGGAATCCTCTCTCTCAATATGTATTGTTTCAGGTTCAAAGGGATCTGCGAATTTTCAAGCTGTTTATTTGCCCTGATGAAAAAGGAAAAAAAAAAACAAGTTCCAGAAGAAAAAAAGTACACAGCAGTCACATAACATGCTTCAGTCTTGCTCATGTTGAATGATATAACTGCTTTGAAAAAAACGTTAGACCATCTTGTTATAAAAAAATGTTTTTTAATACACCATAGCAATAAAGACATGTGCAAAGTATTAACAAATCAAAGGCACAAAAAATAATACATTTAACTGCATTCAAAAAACAAAATTCAATACTGTTTATATTAGAATGATCCTGTATCTTTAAACCTTTATAAAAGCATAAACAAACAGTAGCAATATATTTCCCCAAACTGATTAATTGATCTACAAGCTTCATCCAGACTATTAGTTAATTTATCCAGTTACAAGAAGTGAGCTTAATAATGGATACAACATATTATTTACAGGTATCTTCTCTCACTAAACACTAA